GCTCCAGTCTCTTTCTGTGAAAAACAAAATATGCCAATTTGCAACCCTTCGAAAAGGGACAGAGGGTCTTGCTCGGAACACACATGATTCCCATGTTGTCTTAACTCTCCCCATTAGATTGTTGGGAGTGGATGATCTTTGTTTAAGATAAAATCTGGTAATGTTAGTTTTAATTGAAACAGGACCATCAGCATAACTGTTGTCATGGCGATGGCACGACGGGTGTCATTTTGTTTCCTTTGTGATGTACATTTCTGGTGCCAAGTTTAAAAACACTGCTTTAATATTTCTAGAGATATTCTTGATTGAGTGTTAAACTGTTTTAGTGGAACCACCTACGACATTGTCACTTATAATACAAAAACGTGAATATCTCTAAAATGAAAAAAGATATTCCAAAAAGGAAAACGCCATTCTTCGACTTTACCTTGAAAGGCCTTTCAAATCAGCAGCAATTATTTTTTACTTCATAGGCACTTTAATATAAATGGAAGAAAAACATGATGTAGGAAGGGGTAAACTGATATTGTTACATGTTTGCAGGTTGTGGCTGACATAAACAACATCAATGTCATTTCTGTTCCTTTAACAGAGGAGTTTCAGTTGCCAGTTGAAAAGGTAAGGAAATATATTTTAATTCATTATCAGACAAAATAATAATAATAATAATAATAATAACAATAATAACAATAACAATAACAATAACAATAACAATAACAATAACAATAACAATAACAATAACCATGACAATAACAGTAGCAACAACAACAACAACAGTAATAATAGTAATAATAATAATTTAGTAATACTCAAAATGGCTGAATGCAGAATTTCAGACTTAGAGCCTGGGACCATAATAAGATTTAATATAACTTTTGTTTTTTGGTGGACTGGGGTTTTCAGGGTTATCGCTGAGTGCCGGCTGCCAGCAAAATGCGCCGCCTGAGATTGCTGGTTGGATTTTGGTGGGTGATCACTCTGTTAAGGACAACAAACTGTTTTTAGGTTACACACTTACAATCATTCGATATCTGAACCGTATCAAACTGTCTAAATGAAAAGTTTGGAATAAATTCCTGACTACCTTGAATATCATTGCCTCTATAAAAAGTAAAGTAATTGAAATAAAATCTTGTTTTGGGCACTTTTTTAGCATGTTCTCTTTCTGTGTACTGTGTCCACCGTCTTGTAAACGCGAAGATTGGTAGCCCCACGTTTGAGGCATTGCCAAAGATGGGGGATGAAAATTTTGTTCTAGATCTCTTGCGCTATGGCAATCTTAGCCACAATACTATTTTCTTAAATACAACCCTAGGTTTTAAACTTTTTTGTGTAAAATCATTGTAAATATGACTGACACTGTCACAGATGCAAGAAAGTCAAGGAGGCCATTGGGTCCTCTGCGAGATTATTATTTTAATTATTATAAATTATCTACATGGCTTAGTGGTGTAGTTTGTTGATCACTGTTATAAAACCAAGACCCAAAGTGAACTCATTTCACCAGTCAGAGTTGTTACTTTAGAATCAAACTTGGGGATTTGAAGGAAGAGAAAAAATGGAGTGACACTACGATGTCGATGTAAGCCATAACTGTTGTTTTTTCTCAGAAATGGCGTAATTTTCCGTACTTTTGTGATTCAGTCCGCAAATTTAGATACACTGTAACGTAAGTCTTCCTTGTGTGATCTATGTGAAAATAACTTTCCAAGTGTAAAATTGAATAAGGTTTAAGACAATCAAACAATTATTTGCATCGGTTTGCTTGTTTTATTTTTTTGTCGTAAAATGTCAATCCAGAACAGTTTTGTCAAACTTACAAAATAATATAAAATAAAATAAAATGAAATGAAAACAATACTTCCAATATGAAATTTTCTCGGCGTATTACTCCAAGGAAAACGAACGTGGTCATGCCGTTATCAAAATAGCAACACCGTCCAGTTGGCTTGTAAACTGAATCTCCGGTCTTCAACGTGTCTATAATTTTTTTTTCAGACTGTCCTGGCAATAAATAGCATAAGGGTTACTTAAAGGGTAAACGGTGTGTCGTTAGGACCGTAAATGAAAAGTCAGAAATAAGACCTACAAACGATCAACTCTTGAGTCACTCGTTAAGCGGAAGTTTCGAGAGTCACTTGACCGACCAACAAGACGTCACACCATTCCTGTCTTCTAAACAGTATGCAAAGGTAAAAACGAAAGAATGAACTTCTTACATACAACTAGCTACGACTAGCTGACCTGCGGTTTTGGGTTTGAGTTGGTCAGGGTGTGATGGATGTCCTGGTGTTAGACTGGTTGTCTTGAGATGTCACAGCTGAGCTGGTATCAACACTTTCATCAAACCACCCGTTGGATTAGCGGAGGCGTCGACAGTTTCTCGTGCGGTTTCCACGCGTCTGTCCTCGGGTCAAGTACCCCGCGCTGTCCTGAGAGAGCTTATATTATGTTTGATTGCCTCAAGAGTTCGCAAGTACCTCTTTACACCCCGTGTAGCTCGTGAACAGGCTCTGTCGTCGAGGATGGGGCGAAGAGAAAGCGAGGAAAAAGAGCCCTCATCTCATTCCCCCCTCGACCACTTCACTCTCAGCTTGTTCCGTTTCAGCTCTTCCAGTCGCGGTCAGATTCTTGCAGCCGGAGCCTGTCCGCAGGCGAAATACTGGGTGACGAGAAGCATTGTGAGAGTAAAGTGTGTTGGATGGAAAAAGAAGATAATACATTGCCTCTGCCTGGCTGGTCCTCGAATCCGAATCGCTTGATCTAAAGCCCGGGCCACGGACTCGCAAGTACTCACGAGTAGCCGCAAGTTGAACTGGCGTCGAGACTTGTATTGGGTGGCCAGACGGACTCGCAAGTTTCCTCNAAAAAAAAAAAAAAAAAAAAAATTAAGGCTTCATCTACTGTATTTCATTGGCTAATAATAGGGCAATTGACGTCACTCAACTTGCGTTGACTTCGGTTGGGTGGCCAAACGCGTCGACTTACGTAGAAACTTGATCTCAACCGAAGTGAGCACAAGTCATCGCAGGTCAACGCTAGTCAACGTAAGGCCTGGCCAAACGGACTCGCAAGTAGACCCAAATTTTAAACTTGCGTTCACTTGCGAGTCTTAAAGGTAAGGATCGGCTAACACAACCAGGATATTCAGGTTACCGAGAAGGCCTTCACGATCCCTTCTCTGAAATACGACTAAGTTAATTAGGGGTCCCGCACTAAACAAGTTGCAAGCGTCGTAAAAGATAACAATGGTCGAAGTTAAGGGAATGGCTATCTTCGGTAGGGCCTGTAAAATTGAAATGGTCACGATGCGTCAGCAGAATATTCCGCGTGCAGCAATGGGTTCAGGGATTCCAGACGGGAAAAAACAAGGAGTAGACCCACGGAGAGATTAGAAGCGGTCAGCTGGGACCAACAGACACACGAACTTAAAACAAAAGAAGAACTTTACTGGCCGCGGAAAAAGCATTTGGGGTGTGATACAAGAGGCGCACGCAAAATGGTTGCAAACCTTATGGTTAAAAACACATTTTCTTTAATAACAAACCTCTGGTGTCTACATAACTAAGTACACAGCATGATTAACCAACAGGGTACACGTTTAATAGCAAAGCCAACTAAGGTAAATGTAATTTTGGTTTTGGCATCGATCGATCTTTTCTTTGTCTTTTACGTTCAGAATAAATCAAAGCAACACTAATGTAATTTGTTTGCGTTTAACGCTGAAGAAAAAAAAAACTATTTTCCTCAAAGTAAGGAAGCTTTAATTGATCTTTCTCTCGTTAACTCTCTGCGGGTTAATGAGTATTTGACAGCGAATACAACGAAAGTGAAATCACGGCATCTTCTTGATATATATTTTCTCTACATGTGGCGTCCGAATGTGACACAAAAATCAAACAACAGCTTTATCCTGAGGAAGTAAAATCGAACGTGAGCTTTTTCTTTTCATTTGCGCCAAAAGAGCTGCTTGTACACAAACACCAGTGTAGATCCGTCACCAGGGATCAGATAATCGATTCCAGTAGACGCTGATTTGCCGTCAATATAGATCATCCAGTAGACCTTCTCAGCAGGTCTCCGGTGGATCCCACAAATGGACTGGACACTGTGTCCCCACATCGTCATTTTGGCAGTGAAGTTGAAGCAGGGATCTTGTGTGGCAGCCAGTTTCAAGATCTTGTGGGCGTTGGTTCCGTTGCGCACCTCAACACATGCAGGGGAAGGCGGGCTTTTGCCATCGGTGTATTTTGTGGCATTAAACTTTAACTCAACGCAGACGCGGATCTGTAATGATAAACATTCTCATTAATTTCGTTTTGATTTTTATTTCCAAGAAACGAATTTTTTTACCTAAATCATTTTGAATGGCCGTAAAGAATGCTAATGCGATGCGATTGTGTACTGCAGTTAGTAGGACTGCAGTCTGTGTAAAATGTTTGAAAATGTACGAGAAGTCGCTCGTTTACTAGTGTTAAAATGTCAGACTCGCTCCGTTTTAAGTAGTTTACTTGATCACTTGGAAAAAATGATTTTTTGTCCGAAATAAAGAAGCSTCCTSTTTATTGAAAATATGTGATCTTAGCGTGGATGTTCGTCACGTACCTTGTGATCTTCTCCAGCAACTGCACCAAAAAAAGAAAAAAGAAGACAAAGAAAAAGAAGGAATAAGTTARCAAYGCCASTTTATAAGAAACGGTTGCAAGCTGCATTGCTCTGCTCTTAGCGTACTTTTCCCCTGCGAGCAGAGATCCCTTCGATCTTCCTAGAAAAGTCGGGATGAGGAAGCGACCTCGAGGTCGCCGATTAACAATTGAAGTGGCCTCCTCTATGATCCTGGTGGGTTTTTGGAGGACTTCTCTTCCTATCAAAATTGTAAGTTGTAATTGTATACACTCCTTTTATTTTTAATTGCGGCAAATAAAAGTAAGTATAAATAAATAAATAAATAAATAAATAAATAAATAAAAAGATAAATAAATAAAATGAATAAATAAATAAATAAATAAAAAATAAAATCCTACTTTAGTCGGGTTTATCTCTTATGATAAAATATCTCCTCACCTGTTTTGTTCACAGGACAAGTTATTTTATTGACATCATATGGAAGGGCTCCAACCAAACTTGGTAGCACGTAGATCGTAGCACCCAGGTTTTTAAATGAACCGTCAGGCTTTTGACGCGATAGGAGAAATTTCATGGTCTCTGCACACTTTCTTTGATTTATCTCCGCTGTCAGAAGAGCCTGAACATAGTTTATAAATTCAAAAGGGTAAAAAGAAGGTAAAATAATAGATGAGTCTTCTCCGATCTTTATGCCTGCAAAACTAGTGAACTTTTCATACTTGTGAGTAGTCAAACTAGATGTTTTTTTACATTTTAGTGGTTCATTTTGAGGAAACAATTGCTGGACGTCAAGCGAATTGTTATCTGAATCGAGAGATGTTTTCGTACTTGACTATCAAAAGTTGTACTAATATAAATATATGCCAATCCTTGAGTTAGCCTTGAAAGGGTTCATGGTCCACAAAGTTTTCAGCTCAATTCGTGTTGAAAAAAAATTTTTGGATGCTTTTTGGACGCTCTCTGTGAGGCAGAGCTTGTGTTCTTCGGGCTAGAAAATGCTCGACAGCGAGTTTGAAAACAAATTTTTGTTTTCTTTGTATTCAGAGACACTTTTACATCAATGGAATATTANGCACGTAGATCGTAGCACCCAGGTTTTTAAATGAACCGTCAGGCTTTTGACGCGATAGGAGAAATTTCATGGTCTCTGCACACTTTCTTTGATTTATCTCCGCTGTCAGAAGAGCCTGAATATAGTTTATAAATAGAAAAGGGTAAAAAGAAGGTAAAATAAGCGATAAAACTACTCCGATCTTTATGCCTGCAAAGCTTCTAAATAGGTTCCCTGCGGCAAGGACAAAAAAAGGAAAAGATTTTAACAGAGTTCTTAACTTTTCTGACTTATGAGTAGTTAAGCTTTTTGTATATTTTAGTTGTACATTTTGAGGAAACAATTGCTGGACGTAAAGCGAATGGTTATCTGAATCGAGAGATGCTTTCATGGTTGACTATCAAAAGTTATTCTAATGTAAACGTATGCCAATCCGTAGGTTAGCCTTGAAAGGGTTCATGGTCCACAAAGTTTTCAGCTCAATTCGTGTTGAAAAACATTTTTGGATGCTTTTTGGACGCTCTCTGTGAGGCAAAGCTTGTGTTTTTCGGGCTAAAAAATGCTTGACGGCGAGCTTGAAAACAAATTTTTGTTTTCTTTGTATTCAGAGACACTTTTACATCAATGGAATGTTATATAACATCAGAAAAGTTCAAGAAACAATTCGGCGTACCTTTGGCAAAGCAACCAAGAACGTTTGAAATGAGTAAAGGTTACTTAGGATTATAAAAAGCTACTTCATGTTTTAGCTTTTCAAGCTGCAACGTGCCTCCATAGACTGCGAGTAGGCACTTTATCGCTTAGTCCGTCGAGCGTGACCGTAAATAAACCGAGAAAAAATCTTTCGCGTCACGCACGATGGACTAAGCGAAAGAGGGACTACTCGTAGTCCTTTACGTCGAGCCGAGTTCAGAGATTTCGATATAAATCAGATAAGGTCGTAAATAAGATCCACTTTACTTGCCTGATAAGAAAGTGCGGCAGTGACCTCGTTTTCGCCAAAAGTGCCATCGAGTAGTTGACGTTTGTATAGTATTTTAATCGCGGCGTTTATACCACCTTGAATTCTTCTCATTTTCAATCTGAACTGCCCTGGTTTTTTCACGAACTGTTTGACGCATGTCAAAGCAAATATATGCATGGAGAGCGTGTCGCCGCTAGCGTGAGATGCAGCCGTTTGATTTGGGATGTTGTGTATGATGTAATTCAAGTACTTCTTCTGTCCGACATCCTTTCCAGCGGTACACAGAGCAATAATAGCCAAGCTGTACTGAAAGGGATGATCGAAGCCCACTTGAGGAAACTTGTCGAGTTTTTGATATAGCGAGGTGACCAAATCCATCCCGTAGAACTTCCATGGGTCTTGACAAGTGGCCAAAGCACCAAGGATGTAAACAGCCAACGGCCCACCTGGGATGGAGCCAAGACCGCCCTGTTTGATGATCTCGGCATTAAGAACTTCCGCTCCGTGCTCGACAGAGTGACCAACCAATCTCAGCGAGTGGAATGCAAAGCCATTCACGTGCCCCTCCCCGTAAGTACCGTGTTTGTCCTGGTAGTTTCGAAGCCATTCAGCAGCTCTAATCGCGGCGCGGGTGAGATTGGCGTCCAGGCCTCTAGAACCTAAGAGGAGAACAAAACAAAATATTGATAGTTGTGTTGTGAAATGATGAAAGTTTGAGTTAAAAAGAAGTGATTGGACAAGGAAGCAACCTACTCAACGCCGATCATCTGGATGTCACGCAACGGGTTCGTGCTTAGCAATAAGCGGAAGTGACAAGATTTTTTTTTTTTTGCGTAGCACAGTTTCACATCCAACACAACAAGAATGGGTCTTAACTTGTTTGTTTATAGATTACCTTTTTTGGTCACATTTTTGGCTTACAATAGACTGGGGAATTCGGAATTCGACACGCTAAAAAAGAACTGCGAAAGAAGCCACAGAAATCGAGGTTTACTTTTGCGAAATAGTCAACAATCGAGCATTTTTTGTCTTCTGGGAACGCGTTTGTTTCTGTACGTTTTGCACTCTGCCAAAAGTGTCCTGTCATTACTTCTCCCTAATACCCTTGCGGAAATTACGCTTCCACTTTTTCAATACACGATTATAGCGGAGGTGAGAAACAAAAGCAGTCGCGGTTAACTACGATTTGAAAGGAATCCTCCAGCTTGGTTGAGGATTTCAGGCTTTGTGATGTCATTCCTCCATTCTTTGTAGTGTATAAGTAATCTGCGTTGTGTTCAGCTAATATAGACACGGGAAATGCAAAAGCAGGGTTAGACACAGGTCAACTGAGCTCCGTTAAATTCTAGACGTGTGAAGAGAGCCCTTTCCTGAGTATATAATGTCTAGCCGGCGAAGAACAGGCAGGG